GTCTCGCTCATACGAAATAAAGCAGCATACTTTATATGCAGAAGAAAGGTTTTGAAGCTCATGTTCTGTTTGTCTAGTCATCAGTGCTTAGTTGGGTGGCATTATGTCATTTTCTGGGTGGTGACTGAAGTTTCACTATTGTTTACGTACGTTTTATGGACTGAGGGGAGGGAGGTCTTTGATTATGGCTGGTTGCTTGAGTACTCGGTTTTATAAGCGAATTCTTTAAGTCGAAATCTGATTAATCGACTTCCACATGACCTCCAGTTGTCCAGTTTGTTTTACTGTTGATCCTGACATCTGAATCGAATAGATCCGATGGCAGTAAACAACTAACCATTAGCCCAAATCTGGGAAAGTATCCGGTTTGAAGTCCCAGTAGGTTTACAATCGACTCACTGCAAATTCAAATATAGGCCCTTGAAATAGATATAAACATTTAAGATGAACCAAATGGGTTTTAAAAGCAAGAACAAACGTAACAACCAATTAAATCTAGGAGGTAGTTCGACTGCTGCTTGACTAAACTTCAGGCAAGGTCGAATCGGACGTGGTGGTAAACTCACATACTCACAAACTGCATGAGTAGTATAGAAAGTGGTCTCAGTCTTCGGCTTGTTGGAAATAGCCTGGGGTGCCATGATACCTACCGAAATAGTCCACAGAAACAAAACGCCTTTAGTTTTTTAGGATCCACAACTACACTCTACACGTATAATTGTGCAGTAACAACTTGCAGACTCCCAGTCATTCGTGCATCTCAAGAAATTGAAAACCACGCACAGTTTATGTGGTCGGGTCATTTGCTGATCGCATTCTTATTCCAGCCACACCATATAGTTACAGGTGTTACTTTTTATTCGATAAGCAACCTTCGGTGAAAGTTTTCAAAGTGGCAAGTTTCATGTGATTACTAACTAATTACCAAGTTAAGCAGCAAATATGTCACATTCGTTTATTTCGAGGGTTTCTGTGTGCACTTGAGCTCCTTTGCAACGTGCCTCTCTTAATGAACGAATGATTCGGATGGTGCTCGGAGACCATGCCGATTTCTCACGAACATTCGCTGATTGGAGCAACAGTAAAATGAATTTTTTCGTCTATTACATGGTCCGGTTAATCTTCCCTTGACAAAAGATTAGATGTCCTTAAATTCCCCTGCGGCATATGTAGCTGTTACTGCACTACGAACCACCCGTAGGACTTGATCAAAGCGGTCCTTTCTGGTGGATGAGCACGTGTTGTGGAGGTCAACCAGATCCCCAGCTTCACTTGACGACTGAATAACTACTAAGTCCCACGCATCTCCCTTTACGGGAAACCTTTTCGTTATTTTTTACATTTTGTACTGGTCTTCGCTTTCCTCCCTTCCTTCTCATTTATTTTATTTCTTATTCCTTCATTCGTTATTCTCCTCCTATTTGAAATAGAATCCCCAGTTGATCAGCCAACCGCAGATTGATCATCACATAAAGAACCCGATCTGTTCGGAAGCAATAAAACTGAATTATCCGGTAGATCAGTGTTCGTATATTGGTCAATCGACGCACTCATCGTAGTCGAAAGTGGCTCACCAATGGAAGCATTGACATGTAGCTAGCGTCTATGTATTTCTATTAAATTCACATTCAGCTTTCCAGACTGAATCAAGCCAGGTTGGGTTGATGGGGTTTGGGAATTTCGCACGCGTGTGTTCGTCTTGAATACACTACCTACTCGATAAAAGTTAGTAGCTACTTGTCGACTCTGATTTGTTAACAGTAAGTTTCTATAAGGAAGTTGAAAATTGCCGGGTATTATAAGGCTTGGGGAGGCCTTTGGCTTACAGTAATCCGACCTGTGTTCACTGGAGAGATTCTGGAATGCGCATAATTCGGCACACTTAATGTGAGATCGTACTCCCGGAGCTTTGTTGACAATGTTGAGATCTCTGAATTGATGACGACCGATATAATTCCATCGGTTGAGTGATTTCCCATGACACCTTTTCGGCTGATCTGAGCAATTTTTCTCCATATTTCTAGAGTCCGGACCGTTGTATTTCTCATGACGTAGCCGTTTAGGTATCTGAGCCACTCAGCTTGATTGCGAGCCTCATAAATGTGTACTTTTCGAACAATGGAACTTTCCATACTTTGAGGTGTTAACTGGAAAAACTAGACTGGACTGTAGTTCCATTTTAAATATCCTGATTTATGGTAAGGTACACAAGCAACCGAATTTGATCCTTGCAAAAGCGGTTAAGTTGTGCTCATTATAGTAGTGAGAGCGGGCCTCTCGAACATCTCGGCCCGGAGATCAGTTGGCATACCAAACACTTTCCACATTCTCTGACTGCTAAAACAATTATTCTTAGCTTTGGAGAAGCATGACCAATAGTACCAGGTCTTTCTTGATTCCTTCTAGACTTCTAGCGTTAAGCCGCGCAACTAAGCAGAACGTTCTGCCGGACAAACACAGGACAACCCATTTAGGAGAACAGATCCTAATTGGAAGGGAAGTACATGTTTCGGAAAATTATTACCGACTACAAAGATTGGGGGAATAGTTTCTTCGACCCAGAAGCCGGTCAATTTTAACACCGGAAGCAGTACTCAGGTTCGAGAAATATGTCGAAGGACCCCAGAAACCTTACCTACACAAGGACTGTTGTCCTCATGGGGGGTAGTCATTACGGCATCCAGGAGTGCATCACATGGCACTTTGGTTGACAATTTCAGACTGTCGACCACCTGACTATGCTCCGGCTTTCTTGGCTCATGAAGTAGCAGTGTGAAACAGCCAAACCAACTGTCACGTGACTGCTTTATATGCGTCCGTTATATGCATACGAACTCTCCGTGGGGTCGATTTTCTTGGAATCCGACATTTTTTCCATCAAACTTCCGATGCAGTTCCGAAACCATGAATCGATGACGATGGAACCATCAGTTGTCGCAGGAATACGCCCACCTGAAAAAACTCAAGAAGGGCCAATCGGCTATCGAGGAGATTTCAGAAACCTTCTGGATGGTGATCTAGTCCAAGAAGATTGCATTGGGGTATCTTGAACATCATGTCGAAACATGAGAAGGTCTTCGTGAAGCAGATTCAGTTGAATAATATCATAAACGAGAGATTCAGTGGCGGTCGATCAGCTGGCTGCTGAGCGGTTTGCCGAGCACGGCAACTGGACCGCAATCGTTTGGTCACCAAATGGGTAAGACATCATCAGTGCCTGATTAGGTGGGATTCATCTGAGTCTCCCGCAAAAACTAAACTGGTGTGCAAATGAGTGTATTGCGCGAGGTTTGTGCAATTGAAGTTGACAAAAACTCAGGGACTACGCCAACCTGATCAGCCCCAAGAAGAGCGAACCGGCCATGGGCTGTCGAGGGTTTTTCAGCGACCTTAAGAGTAATATACGGAGATATATCGAATATAACACCAAACGAAACGTCAGACTTTGCTTTACACTTTCAGCTGGGGAATATCATAAATGAAATGTTCGAGTGGGACTCAACAGAATCTTCCGTAATTCACCAAATCCACTTTTTATTTTTTTGCTATCTGAAGATGAGTGAAGTTCGTATCTGAGTTTATTTCACAGACAAAAAGTTGAACTTGTACATATCAAACGAGTTTGCACGCCAGACAGTCCAACCTTGGCTAACGTCGCCTTGGGCTGAAATACAGCTTGACTACCAGCATTATGATATCGTTCACAGATATATGACATCGCTTCATAGAACTGTCAGCGGGTGATCTTCTGGAATTAAGCTGTTCATGGGTTGGAGGCTCGGGTTAGCCAGATTCCGAACTTTGACCATTATGTGAACAACGTGTTCTGAATAGTGTAGCTGTTGGAGTGACTTGCACGTGTGTCGATAAGTGACACTTGTTTGTGGTCCGTGACAACCGGCAGCTTTAAACGTCCCGGAATGCTTCATTACGTTTTGCTCTCCTTGATGGGGATAAAAATCCGGCCAGCAATTGACCAACGAGTCTGTGAGTACGCCATTTTGACAGCACGAGGAAATTAGCCACGTTACACTAGTTCTGCTGACCTCATTTCCAATTCATTTCATTGATTGAGTCGCTCGAGGACAACGCCCACCGCAAACGACCGTACTGTGTTTTCACATTGCCCAGGTTGTCGGATATCGTTTATGTAAATTTTGTAGACTGCCACCAATCAAAACCGATCATCCTACCTTCTGTTGTTCGTCATACCGTTTGACGCGATCGAGTGGAAGGGAACATAACAAAAAGACAACATTCACCTGATCTTAATCATGAGAGAACCTAACGTCCCGATAAAAAGTTGTGGCACGTCAACCAATCTCATCCACCCTGCAGATCAATAGGTCTCTGTTCCGCTTTCTGAAACCCTATTGGTCGATTTGCTTCCTCACACCCGGTTTGCCAATTAGCCTAAGCAGTAACAGAACGGCCCTGAGCGAGTTTATTCTTCAGACTGCGGGTTTTATGAAGGAATTACGACGACTGTCTACCCAAGGTGATATAGTAAGTCGGTCTAATAACGTATCCCTGGGTATTAAAAACGCCTGAGTTTTTAACCTGATGGCGAGTTGCGTTGTCCTGTCGGAGGTTGACTCAGCTTTCGCAGAACAGTGATTGGCTAGGTATGTATTACCCGGTCATCTAAGTAAACAAATCACATGACTTTATTTTACGACTTAATCCCACAACTGTTCACAACCAGCAACAAAACTATTTTATCAGGATTGAAGCAATTGAAAATCTAAGTATTCTTCTGGTAAAGCCGAGTCATTCTATTCTGGATGGCTGTTTCACCATTGTTGGCGAACAAATAAGAATCTCAGCGGAGTTGATAGACTTGCACCTGAATGGGTGAAAGGACCACTGCCCCTCCACCATCACTGCTTGGATTTGGAAGTAGGCTGCTTCAATGAGTGACTACTGATAACCGATAAAAGTGGGGAATGTATTCCTCACAAATCGTCCAAGATTTGCACCCTGTGTGAAAACATTTCAAAAAAAATGATCACTTTTGTTATCAGCATGATCAAAGCAAAAGAATCTCTGAAACATTACAAGAACATTCATTTGGGAGTTTAATGAATAATGCTTGTCTTTTTGCTTGATCAGTACTAATGCGTAACACTAAAGCTGATTTTGGTGTCTTTTTCACACAGAAAGCTCTATTACGCCAACTCGGAACAGTATCGCCAGTGTAACACCTTTGAAAGTCGTCACGTTTACGTTATTGACATCGTCTGCGCAGAGGGTACTTTTAAGGAGGAGGTTCACTCGAGAATGAATGATTTTAAAGGAGCAAATAGAGAAGCCGATTCAAACAATGGAGTTTATAAGTCTGAATACGTTTCAAGACCACGTAAAATTTGACCAGACTCCAGAAATGTTGTATTCTGGCAACCCTCCGTAAAACCTTTGCAACGGCTCAACTCCGAGTGTTCGTTCACAGTGTACAATGAGGTTTTCTGCATAATCTGAAGGTTTTGAAGATATTCCCATCAAGCAACTGAAGAGAAACAGGCTAGTCTGTTTGACGCAGTTCGTGTTTGGCGAGAACCCATTGCTCACAACTGCATACAGCGTGCATACCGAGTCACGGAAGAGATTTTCTCCAGATGACAGTCTACGCTGATTAGGCAGTTAGGATGTAAAACTATATTGCATTGCCAGGCATAGAACTGCACGTAGTTCACTATTGCTATATGGTTATTCAGCCATAGTTTTCTTTGGTGAAAGTATCGTAGGAGATACGGTGCCTTGTGTCCCGGTAGTCTTGTATTCTAAACCAACCGAGTATGTGTTGTGAAAATTCCAAACCTCTGGTCCAATTTAGAGTGATATTTTCTTAATTCCGTCGATTACACAATGTACTGATATAGCAACACCGAGTTCAGATGTTGGCTGCTATCGTATCCGCGATGTATTTATAAAGGTAATCATATATGTCCTGCAGGTCTTATGTTTGTATCTCCTTGTTCTGTTAACAAAGGAAGAACAAGTCACACAACGAGGGCTTCTTCCGTCTGACAAGCAATCAATCGAGGAGCTACTCAACAACTAATCACCTGATGTGAATTCAACGACTGAAGGATGAGTGGCTCTCTATTCTATCTAACTGCGAGTTACTCATACTACTGATAAGCCGTTTCTGGCCTACTTATTAAGCGTTAGACCGAGAGATAGTGAGTTCAAATCTCTCCAAAGATTCGTGAGGTGTATAATGCTGACGACCTTCAGTAGGTATGAGACAGCATTACGGTTATTCTTGGCTTTCCGGGATAGAGTGACTTCACCCACAGGACGAAATTTCCATTGAAAAGCTCCAAGATCTCAAACTATCAACAACTCGCAACTCGTTTGATAACAAGTCTATCCATTCAGTTAGGGAATACGTTTTTCTGAATACAGTCATCAATACACCTAAGGAAAGGTGAGGCTGGTCTCCTCCTAGGTTGGTTTCGTACATAAGTCACCTTAAGTCTACCTTAAGGATGTGCCATTCTTGTTTTATCTTGTATGATTCCATACCCATGGCGATAGGGTGCCTTGTGCCCCGGTAGTCGTGTATTCTAAACCAACCGAGTCTGTGTTGTGAAAATTCCAAACCTCTGGTCCAATTTAGAGTGATATTTTCCTAATTCCGTCGATTACACAATGTACTGATATAGCAACACCGAGTTCAGATGTTGGCTGCTATCGTATCCGCGATGTATTTATAAAGGTAATCATATATGTCCTGCAGGTCTTATGTTTGTATCTCCTTGTTCTGTTAACAAAGGAAGAACAAGTCACACAACGAGGGCTTCTTCCATCTGACAAGCAATCAATCGAGGAGCTACTCAACAACTAATCACCTGATGTGAATTCAACGACTGAAGGATGAGTGGCTCTCTATTCTATCTAACTGCGAGTTACTCATACTACTGATAAGCCGTTTCTGGCCTACTTATTAAGCGTTAGACCGAGAGATAGTGAGTTCAAATCTCTCCAAAGATTCGTGAGGTGTATAATGCTGACGACCTTCAGTAGGTATGAGACAGCATTACGGTTATTCTTGGCTTTCCGGGATAGAGTGACTTCACCCACAGGACGAAATTTCCATTGAAAAGCTCCAAGATCTCAAACTATCAACAACTCGCAACTCGTTTGATAACAAGTCTATCCATTCAGTTAGGGAATATGTTTTTCTGNCAGTTAGGGAATACGTTTTTCTGAATACACTCATCAATACACTTAAGAAAAGGTGAGGCTGATCTTCTCCTAGGTTGGTTTCGTATATAAGTCATTGACCCCCTTAAGAACGTGTCATTCTTATTTTGTCCTCTATAATTCCCTACCCATGTGGTTCAAACGCTCATCTTGTAGTTTAAATGTTTGTTTACCTTGGACCTACCGCAACGGGCTTACAAACGGATTAATTAAACTTACATGCAAAGAAATGTTTTTTAAGATCTACAGCCTTCGGAAATTTGGGTCAGTAATATTACAAATGTGGATGGATACTCAGCAAAAATGAGCAGTATAAACGTGCGTTTTACTCGACTGGAACTCAGGGATTACATCTCGACAACAAAACGGCATTCACTTTCCTTGCCCTCTGTGAACTGTCGTTCAGCAAGGCCGTTATGGAATTTGTCGCTCTGACGCCTGAATATCTCGGGCTAGTTGAAATAATCGTGAATGGTTTGGTTCTTATCGGGTTTGGTGAATTTCATCGTGTTTTCCAGTGAAGTGAAAATTCGATGCCACTTGTATGATTGACCGTAACTCACATTTACGACATTCTTTACACAAAGATCCCCCTACCCTTCAGTTGGAACCATGTTCAAGACGTCATCAGTATATCCTTCGCATTGTCAGTTAGCATCCATCCTAAATAAGAGTTGCTGACGTAAGATATCTTGACTACACCCAATCAGTAGTCAGTTTCAACACGGCAACTGTCAAGACATATCCGGATGGTTCCATCATTGTGTTGTGCGTTGTATGTTCCAAAATCAATCTTGATGGAGTTAATATAAAAAAGAGACTCACTTATATTTCCCAAAAACGCAATACTGAGGCTGTGCAAGATGTATGATGAAACCATCTGCTAAAACCTGTACATCCAGCTGGCTCGTGCTCTCAACAATGGCACCACAGGAAGGAGATGAGCGAAGCACGTTTCAGTACTTGGATCGAAGGCCACACCCACTACATAAACCAGATCAAGCGCCTCCGAATGTGAGATTTGCACCATTCCGGCGGTTAGTTGTTTCCTGCTCTCTCATGTGACAGTAGAATGCTACATTCAGTTCATCCAACCGTCATAATTAGTTGCGCAAGCCCCCGCCCCCGTGGATTTTCACTCGCTAAGCCGAGCAGAACTTGGTGGTGCATGAGATAATGGCCGAACATAAAATCGACAGTTTGTCTGTTCACTTCTGTCCGTCAGGTCTGTTTGTATGCCTCGATAGAGAACGCATTCTTCAACCTTTTCAGTTTGAACAACTCTCAGTGGGTTGCTTGTTTCTCAAAAGTTATTCCGAAAGGTTCTTAGACCATTAAGGAGTAGCCTATGAGAGTTTCCGTAAAATTATTTCCTTCAAAGAAGAGAAGACAGCTTGTTGGTGGCTACCACGCATAGAGCCAACGCGAATGATGTTCACTTATGAGGCATCGATCAGCTTCCAAGTAAAACGTTGCCCAATAAACAATGCACACCCGGTCCATGAGATTAGCAATCACAAGCTTGAAACGCGAATCAGCAATGTTCTGGCTGAGCTTGAGCGTTATCCAACTCCGGTCTTCACATACACAGGACGACTGTCTACCGTTTTTTTCGACGCTACCTACTACTTGCTATGGGAGGAGTGTGAGATTGAGGGGAAATATTGTTCACAGGGAGTTTTTAACGTGTTCCGCCGAGAAAACTGGAGAAGCTTCAAGGGTCGACAGTTTCATTTGGCTGAGTGACAGTGGGTGACGTAATTTGCACCACACTGTGGTATAATAAGGTGGGAGATTTTCCTCCGATGGCTGTGTTTAAAGCGGATTTAATTGAATCGCCCATCACGTCAAACGGAACGCTGTAATCTGTGTGTGGATTTAATCGATTACTATACTCAAGTATTACAAGTCGCCGAGGTTCCAGTGGAGGCTCTTTGTAAGTTTGGTGCGGATGAGTCAACTCTGTTTGACATTTCATAATGGAAGGAGACAATGGACCCATAGAATAGGACGTTGAATGACCTGCTTCCCATATGATTCAGGAAGGAGCTTTATTCAATGATCATTCAGCCGGACGATCGTCCAGCTGTAGCACCCTTCCGGTGCATAGGTGACATGCTACCGGAAAGAAGCACGAGGGCTGGGATACTGCCAGGTTGCCCAAGCCTAGACAGGGGAATTCAAGAGGCAGAGGTCGGTTTCGAACCACGGATCTTCCGGTTCTAACTACTTGAGCCGTCTCGCCGTCTCTCAGCAGAACGATGTGGGGATAGGCACCACCTACTCACATGACTACGGTCGTTTTTGATAACAAGACCACGGATTAAACCATCTACAGTTCGGATTTAGATCCCACAAAAACCAAGTTTTGCCTGTTGACAAGATGGGTTTTGTGTTAGCAGTCTGGTATTTTATGTGGGGTGTGACATCTTTCTAAGATAGTGGATAAAAAGCAGTTTGCCAGGTTTTTGTTCAGGCTGGGACTCACCTGGTGGGTGCAGCTGGAGCGGTTGGAAGTCTCCTTGATTGAGGACTTTCACTGTTCACCACAGCACCGCCAGCCTACTAACCACATCTGTACGGGTGTGAATCGCAGTGTTTTCTCGAGATGAAGTTGATCATAGAAACGTGACAGCATTCGTTCTCTTTTTAGGGATTCCCCTTGTGAGAATTAGATTTAGCGATATCGATTTTTAAGGCACGATGTTAGGATTATTGCTCTTGGTAATTTTTAAGGTATCACTTATTTTGGTGAGAGAGTCGGATGATACCTCACGGATGTCAGCAACGTTATTCGTTATAAACGGATGGAGCTCAGTCTGAGTTCAGAACAGAACAAACAGCCTATCATCCAACGGTCACCAATGTAGTAAACTCCATCTTAACGGTATCTACAATATCTTAGAAGTTTTTTATAGTCATAATTCAGCAATCTGTGAGACGAGACATTCAGTAAAGCATAGCCATAAACAAATTTTTGCCCCTGGTGAGTATGGCAGACTTTTTTGCCTCATTCAAAACGAGACAATACAAGGTGGATCTTGGTTTGTTTCTCTTTGTCCAGAGTTTGGTAGTGTCCCATGTCAAATTACACCGATCGAAGCGGAAAAAAACAAGATTATATCACAAAGTCAACCGTGGGTGATCAGATCACAGAGGTGGATAGGAATTCTAGAAATTAGCGCGCGATAAATGAAATTGTTTGGATGCACTACCTGCTCCCACTTCTTTGTGGAGCAGGCCAACAAAAAGCCGATTGTGTTGAATGGGAAAGAGAACGAAGATAGAGACAGACTGGGAGGAATGGTTGATAAACAATCACGAGGAATCACAATGGCACATTAGACAATGGGTAAATCTGTATAGATTAGTTATGCAACCCAAAGGGTGGAACCACAGTACAAATAAGTTGCGAAAAAAGACGTTCGTTTACAGTAGAAGTTTGAAGAACAAAAAGTCCAACTTCTTGGACATAGTGATAAGGAATCAAAGTGGGTAGGAAAAAATGCACAATAACGTCAACTTGTAATAAAAACCGTGTTTCGATCCTCAAGTTGACTTACTGGAGTGATAATTTGGGCGCAGCTGCCTAGGCCGTGGTGACTGACATTTGTGGTTGGATAAAGGGACAAGAGAACTCCGCTCAAACGACTTCATGGTTTTGTAATTCACGTTGCATTGACATTTGGCAAACCTGGTAGCACACCTCTGTGGCCGTGTCAGGAACTCGCGATCACGTCTTGAGTTATGAATCTAAAACTTGTGGGCAAACATCCAACATTTGGGGAAACACAGCTCTGTCATCTGAAGAGAACCACTGGCTATCAGCGATAGCGGTGATTCAAACACAATTTGAAGCACAGCCAAGAATTTAGTGTTCCAAACCCCGGTATTCCTTGGGGTCCGTGAGTAATCTCATTTCCAAGCGTGTGAAAATGCAGTTAAGGGGGAGACATAATACAGCTAATATACACTCATTTGCAAACTAATTTGGTTTTTCGAGAGACTCACCTGGAACCCAGCTGAACCCAGCTGTTCTCAGTTGCCTGAGAACATCAAAAACGATAGATTCAGCTGGTTTCAGATAGTTTACAAATGAGTGTATATTCGCTATTTTCGTGCAATTTTTTTTAGTAGAACATAAAGTTGACGGAAACCCGGGGACTGCG